TTACTGGGGCACGCTTAAGACCTACTTGGAATCCTCTGACTCGCACATGGTCCTCGCTCAGGAGCATCGGATTCGGGATCAGCTATCGATAGACCAGGCATCCAAGTCTTCGCTCTTCATCGGCTGGAAAGGCATTTGGGCGCCTGGGGTGCCTGGAGAAGGTGGAGGAGTCAGCAGCGGAGTTGCTGTTCTTGCTCGTAGTGGTTCTGGAGTTTTTGTGAATGAGCAGCACGTCTTGGTCGACGGGCGCGCCGTCGCGGCCATGGCGCACGTTCCTGGTTGTGTTCCGTTCTGCGCCTGCTCCCTCCATCTCTTCCACGGCCGCGGTCTTTCGGAAGCCATTTTGGAGACCCTTGGGCCCTGGGGAATTTCTCGAGGGAGTTGGTTGTGAGTTCGTTGTTGGGGCTGACTGGAACTTCTGCCCTGAGGTCCTTGAGAGGCCCGACTTCTGCAAGAAACTTGGGGCGTCGGTGATTGGCACCCGTGGCCGCGCCCACTTCCCCAGCGCGGGCCCCCCTGACCGTTTTGAATATTTTGTCCTCTCGGAGGCCCTGGGGCTCTGCTTGGGGGAAGTGAAGGTCACCGATGACTCCCCCCTCGCCCCCCATCTCCCTGTCGCGTTGCAGTTTCACAGTTCGCTCGGCGACCTCAAGGCTCTCGCCTTCCGCCGCCCCCCCCCCGACCTTCCTGTTGAGGCTCCTGTGGGACCTGCTCCGTGCCCTGGGGATTGGGGCGGTGCTCTGACGCTCGCTCACGAAGCCTTCGAGGCCATGAACGCTGGGGGCGCCCGTAGGGCTCGCAGACTGCTCAGTCCTGGCTATAAAGCGTGGGCGGACTCGGCTGAACGCGACTTGTCGAATGTTCTTGGAGCCGAAGTCTCTACTTTTGGGGCCAGGGGGAAAATACTTCAATTGTATTGGAAGTCTGTTCTGAAGCCTGCGGGCAGAGTCAATGACCTGCACGTGCGTAGCATTGTGTGGCTTCTCAATCAGTTACGAGCTGTCAGGTGCTATCTTGGAGACACTCTGCAGGCTGAAGGTCACCAGGTTGTTGAGGCACTGGGGCGTCCTCCTGCCTCGGTGACGGTTGCCGCAGACTCCGAGTGGAGCAACTATTTCGTGTCTGCCGCCAGCTTAGCCCGCGCCGCGCGAACGGACAGCGGCGGTCCCGTTGTCCACGCCGGTCTCGATTGTTTAATCTCGGACATGGCCGATGTTGTTCGGTCTGCTAAGGCGGCGTCTGCTAAGGCCTCGAGGAAGGACTGGAACGACTGGCTCCGCCAGGTGCTCGAAAAAGGGGGGGAAACGCCCAGACGGCTATCAGAGAGCCTATCGCTTGGGTTCCGACCACCACCCTTTCTCGATGCGGTATTATTGTTGCGGATCTTGTGAGTCTTCTCAAGGCGGAGGCGGATGAGTTCAGTGACATCTGGCAGCAAGGCAGCGGACTTGCTGACTTCTGCAAAGGCGACGGCAACGGCATCTTGCCGCACTCGCCTTTCCTTCAGCCTTCTGAGATTCGTGCTGTTTCTAAGAAGCACAGGCCTGCCTCGGCAGTGAGTGTGGACGGGTTCCATTGCCGACACTTTGCTCTGCTCCCCGATATTGCGCTTCAGGCGATGGTTATGTGGTTTGCGGTTATGGAAGGCACTGGGGCTCTCCCCCCCCAGATTGCTTGGGTTCTTTTGGCCCTCCTTAACAAGCCCTCAGGAGGCTTCCGTCCTATCGGTGTCTTCCCAAGCTGGTATCGTGCGTGGGGTCGCTGTAGAAGAGGTGAAGCTCTCAGGTGGGGGCTGTCCTTCAAGAGGGACTACTGGGCGGCTGGAGCCTTCCGAGGAGCTGGAGACGTTGCCTGGAGACAGGCCCTTAGGGCCGAAAGTGGGGCCCTTCGGGGCCAGTGCGCGGCCTCGTTTTTTGGGGGTTTAAGGAAGTACTATGAGCACATTGATCTTGAGTACTTATGGCAGAAATGCCTTCAACATAGGTTCCCCGCGCGCCTTGCGCGGCTGGCCATTCAGGCGCACTCTGCGGCTCGATCCATGGCTGTCGGGGGTATTGTTGAAGGCCCTTTCTCCCTTAAGAGGGGCATTGTGGCGGGGTGTTCCTTTGCCGCGAGTTTGATTAGAGTGTTTGCCATGGAGGCCTTCGATGGCATCCCGCGAGGACCAGGACGTTGCTACTTCGATGCGCACATAGACAACCTCAGTTTGAATGCCACGGGCTCAGCTAAGGAGGTCATTGATGTTATTTGTTGTGGAGCTCGGGCTCTGCACGCGGCTGTCACTCGCACCCTGCAGTGCAAGCTGGCCATGGACAAGATTGGCATGGTTAGCAGCAGCAGTTTTGTTGCTCACAGGTTGGAGGAGTCCCTTGGCAGCTTGTTTGGCGCAGCTTGCATGAGGGTCACCAACCTCGGCTCGGACTTCACTGCTGGCAGGCCGGTGCGAGCAGGGAAAGGCAGGTCTGCTAAAATGAAGGCCCGTGCTGCTGCTGCTTTGCGCAAAATTCGGCGTCTGCAAGGCCTTGGCGAGGCCCTTGGCCGAAAGGCCCCTCGGGTTTTTGCCGCGGGTCCCCTGGCTGGAGCCGTGTACGGCTCGGACCTCTACGGGGTCTCGGATTCTGAGCTGCCTAGCTTGCGCAGGATGGCTATGTCCTGCATCAAGCCGAGATCCCAGGGCAGGCCCTTACACGTGTTTTCCTTGCTCGAAGGAGATCCGACTTGGAGGGGCAGCTGTGCCCCTATCATTCGTTGGGCCAAAGAAATCTGGATTTTGAGAACCAGCGCCTTCCCTTGGTCGCTCTCGCAGGCTGAAATGCGTGAGGAGTGGAACGCGGTGTTCTCTTCGGACAACTGGTCTTGGGCCAAGGTCCGAGGTCCTATCTCGGCCCTGAGGATGACCCTTTATAGGTTGGGGTGGACCATGCCTGATTGTTGCGCCATCGTCGACGACTTTGGTCGTGCAATCTCCCTCACTCTCTCCAGCCCTCAGCTTATCAAGGTTTTTTGTAAGGAAGCCGTCTTTCGCTCTCTGGAGAGGATCTCTGGAGACAACAAGTGCGGTGTGGGGGCTCGGCTTTGTTGGGGCGTTGCCAAGAATATCCTGGGGTCCAAAAAGATTGGGGCTAAGACTAAGGGTTGGGTCAGAGCCTTAGCGACCAAGGCATGTTGGACTGCAGGTGATGTGGCGTCTGCAGGTTATTTATTAACTGATCGGTGCCAGCTTTGTGACGTAGAGAGACACTCTTTTTCACCGTCTCTATGAATGCCCTGCTGTTCAGCAGGAACGCGATGAAGTTCTTCCTTTATGGCTTCAAGAGGAAGCCCGCCAAGCTGGCCCTGACTCTGAGGATGCAGTGTTATTCCTACATGGGGCTCTGAGGCATCCAGGAGATCTCGCTCCTCCTCCTGCTACGAGTACTGGTGTCGTCTATGACTGGTATACGGAGCTGCTGCCTGGCCCGTCAGATGCTGCTGCTCCTCCCTCCACTCCTCCTACCGATGGGATCTGGGGGCGCCTGTTCATGGACGGCTCGTGCCGCCGCCACTTTGTTAGAGAGCTGTCTCGGGCTGGTTGGGCCGTGGTCATGGTCTCTCAGGCTGGGGGGCGCCTCGGGGTCTTCAAAGGTCCTCTTTGGGCTCCTTGGCCCCAGACCCCCCAAGGCTCTGAATTTGGGGCCCGGGCCTGGACTGGGCTCTTTTCTGAAGGCCCTTCTGACTGCTACCCAGACTGTAGCAATGTGGTGAATTTAATGAATCTCGGAGAGGCGGACGCCATCTCTGGGAAGCGTCAGCATGCTGTCCTTGTCATTCAAGCGCGCCAGCATTTCGGGACGAATGTTTCTTCTTTTGTTAAGGTGGCAGCTCACCGTGACCTCGATGAAGAGGGGCTCAGTGCGCGAGAGAGGTTCTTGCGCCTTGGGAACCACTACGCCGACGTCGCGGCTAAGGAAGCTGTTTTGCTTCACCCTAGCTGGTCCCCCTCTGAAGAGGAAGACCTGCAGAGACGGCTGAAGATTGCCCGTCTTGTCTTGCTGGCAGAAGCGGAGCTCCTGCCGCTGTGGCCCAAGCTTGAGTTCAGAGGTCTAGATCGTGCTCCTAAGCCCCAGTCCTCGGACGTTCCTTTGCTTGAAGTTTGCCACGACTGGACCAAGCAGGGACACACTTGGCGTTGTAGAGTCTGCCTTCGTGGTCCCCGTGCCCCGTCCAAACCGTTTGGTGGTGTGTGCCCTGGGACCTGCCTTTTGGACCAAGGGGTCCTTGAGTCCAAGGGACACCGAGTCATTGCGTTTCCTTGCAGTGACAAGAGTCACATGTTTTTGCGCATGTCGTGCAAGTTCTACAGCAGTGGAGGTCAAGTGATAGGCCTGGGTCGCAAATGCGGTCGCCCGACGGAGTCTGGCTTGAAGAATATTCGCAAGCTCCGCAAAGGCCTACACCCTGACAAGAATGGTGTGTTTGCTGACATTGATGAATTCACCACCCTGCTATAATTTTACAGGTGAATTCTTTATGTTCATCAGTTCTCCTCTGGCTGTTGTTGCAGTTCACTGTTCAGGGGAATGTGCGCTGCTGCCAAAAAAAAGGAAGAGGCAGGCGGGAGAGGCGAGAAAAAAGCAGGAGGAACGCGGGAAGGAAAAGGGGCGGAAGAACAGAGGAGGGTGAGCAGCAGGAGGACCAGAGGTCCGCAGCTCGAAGTTCAGAGAAGGAGGAGGAATCTCGCTGCGGGACGCCGGCAGCCGCCGGCGTCAGCGTCAGGAGGAGGAGGAGGAGGAGGAGGAGGAGGAGGAGGAGGAGGAGGAGGAGGAGGAGGAGGAGGAGGAGGAGGAGGAGGGAGGAGGAGGAGGAGGAGGAGGAGGAGGAGGAGGAGGAAGGCAGCGCCCGCAGCTGAGCGGCAGGGCCCGCGTGGCCGTGAGAGGGCCCGGGGAGCTGAGGCCACGGCCGCTCTGCGGGGCGTTCCCCTTGGCAGCGGCCCGCACCCTCCCCGATCCCCGCCGCCGGAGGCTGCTCCTCTCTGAGCTGGCCGGGCTGCCGCTGCTGGTCACCGCCTTCGCGATAGTAAGCGACGGCGCCCGGCGGACCTCCCAGGAACCCACCCGTCTGGGAGGGAGGGAGGGTCGGAGAAGAACAGAGGGCGTAAGCACAAACTTGCGGCGCTCCGCGCGGAGTTCTTGGATCCGTGCCCCCCCCCGGCGGCGCCTCCAGCGCCGCCATTGGTGCGCTCCGCGCGCCAGGGAAGGGGGTTCCAGCGCAGATCCCAGATATCCGCGCGTACCTCCAAAAGTTTGTGTGAATGCTGTTTTCCCGCCCTGAAAGGGAGGAGGGAGGGAGGGAAAGGAGGTGGGGGAAGGGCTGATTGCTCCTCTCCCTGGGTCCGATGTAGGACAACCGCTGGCGCTGTGGTTTAAACCGGAAGGGAGAGCCTCTGAGGATTTGGGCGAACGATCGGTTGTGACGTTCGGCGGGGCGACTCCCTCAGTGGTCACGGTTGACTGGGATGAACTGAAGAAGGTCGAGAACATTCAGAATTGGCTCAGATGGACCATGGTAGGGCACGTTGTAGGGGTCGTTGCCATGCCCTTTGTTGCCCTATGGGGGGACCAACTGTGAAGGAGACCGCGACACACACACAGCCACCCTCCAAGTGTCTGAGGCGGGGACAAGAATGCGGCAGAGGATCCCATACGCCAGCTGACAGGAACTTGGCGGATCAGGAAAATCTCCAGACTACTACCCTCGTCAAAATTAACCTCAACAATTGCTGGCACGTCATTTGGATTTCGGCGCGCCCCTCAATGTCGACACGCCGCCCCTTCAATGTCGGGGCGAGGGCCAAGATAGTCTGACCGAAGTTGACTCGAAAGTCTGACGTCGACCGACATTGGAGGGGCGGCGCATGCAAGTACCCCGCACTCATCGATACTCGGCCCCAGATCTTCCGACAAGCAGCTCAACCACGTCAGACATTTTTGCGATTAATTCTGACGAGGGCTGTAGAATCAGCATGCTCTCAGTGGCAGCATTCCGTAGCCATCTTGGCTCAAACCACCTGCCTCGGCAGCGGGGGCCCCGCCTGCCGACACGCCTGCCACTCGATGCGCACGGGCCGGCGGGGCCCACGCCCAGGTCCTGCGGCTGCCCATGCCGAGCCTGTGCGCCTGCCGGGCGCGGCGCAGGGGCGCCGAGAGCCCCTTGGGCTCTGGAGCGCCCGGTGACGGCGCGTGGGCGCCCAGGGCACAGGGCGCCGAAGCCGCCGAGGACGTGGATGGCGAGCCGCTGGCCGCCGGGCGGGGCGCGAGTGGCGCGTACGGCTCGCACGCAGGAGGAGGCGCTCCGCTCGGCGGGCCGAGGATCGCCGGAGCGGTCCAGTGCCTGCGCTGCCGGCGGTCACGAGCCGGCAGCTTCTTCTGCGACGTGGCGGTGCAGAGCATCTTCGACGGGGCTGGCGGGTCGGCCAAGTGCCAGCACGGGCCGTACTGCGGCAGCTGCAGGGCGAAGCTGAGCGCCATGACCCTGGCAACTTGTGCGTGCAGGGCGATCATCAACTCCTGGCTGTGAGCTGGCCGGGATGCCCGTCGCGGAGAGCGGGCGGCGCGCGGCACGTCGAGGGCGTCCGTTGCGGCGCGCCCCCGCGCGTCCAGTTCTGTCTGCGGTTGTCGGGCGCCCGGGAGGCAAAACAAACAAAACAAGCATGCTCTCAGTGGCAGCAGCCGACCGCGAGGATGTCCCGTGCTCCCTCGAACTCCCCAGCAAGGCCAGGATGTCAGATGCTATCAGGCCGCTGTTGGGCTGGCAGTTGTGTCAGGCAGGGACCGCCATCCGAATGTTGTACCATGCCAATTTAGGAATTCTAGTTGTGCAGGAACACGACAGCGCCATCATTGACTGCTCCATTGTCTCCCATCTTGCCTACATGATCCCCGATCCAGGGGGAGCGACATGGCCCAAAGACATTCCTAATTGCGGTACCTGGGAATCTTTTGATCCTTTCGCAAAGGAGGAGGGTGACGTCTCTCAGGCAGGCAACCACCCCCGATAAGTGACCCCTTGACGCACTGCTTCCAGGCAGCCTTTCATCGACCGACCGAAAACGAAGACGAGGAGGATAAGGAGGAGGAGGAGGAGGAGGAGGAGGAGGAGGAGCATGATTGTGTGTGCGTTGGGGGGGTCCTTCCTGTTCCTGCGCGGGAGGTCCACGGAAACCACGAAATTCCCACTTGCGTAGGATGTGGGAATGCATCAACATACATCGTCGGACGTCCGCGCGCCAGTGACATCCGCACGGAGTTCTCAAATAATCTGTCTGTGTGCCGTTGTTTCTTGTGTCTCGGAGGTGGATAGACCTCCTACCCTGACACGTCGATTAAGGAATTGGCCGTCTTCGATTCGCGAGAGGGCGTCGCGGCCGTGATTTTTGCGGGTCCAGGTCCGTCGGTTTCGGTCCCAGGCCGTTCTCACTAAGGGGAGGTTTACGAGAGGGAGGTTTGTCCACCGACGACTGTCTGTTCTGCAGTCAGGACGTTGAGAGCAGGGCCGCGCTGGGCTCTTGAGAGGGCCTGGGTTCTCGGGCCGCACGGAGCTCTCCAAGAACCTCTCTGCGTGAGCGTGCGTGCCGTTGTCTCTTGTGGTCTGCTCTGCGGTCAGGACGTTGAGATCAGGACCGCGCTGGGTTCTTGAGGAGGAGGAGGAGGAGAAGGATAAGGAGGGGGAGGCGGAGGAGGAGGAGGAGGAGGAGGAGGAGGAGGAGGAGGAGGAGGAGGAGGAGGAGGAGGAGGGAGGGGGAGGCGGGTGGGGGAGGCGGAGGAGGCGCTCCCTAGATTCCTGCCGTGGAACCTGCCTGTGGCCTGGGCCCGCCGTGGCCGGCAGAGACCCCTCGCTCTCTCTCTTTCCTGCGCGCTCCTTACGGCCATCAGGAGGGAACAAAAGCACAGACACAGGTGATCGTCGATCGCCCAGAAATATGGGAAGATGTGGGAAGGGGGGGAGAATTTCAAAAGCCCAAAAAATATGGGAAGATATGGGGAATCCTGTTATTTGTGTCTCCCAGGGCCCCTTCAGGCTAGTCTGCTTCTGGCCACGAGCGCAAGGTCCGACCTGCTTGCGGGTGTTCGCCCGAGCCGGTCCCCAGGAGCGCGCGCACGCCGTCGGCGCCTCCAGGAGGGGCACGGTGCACGCGGCGCACAAGCTGCAGGGCGCCGCCCTGCTGTCGCGCCGCTCCCTCTGCGCCGAGGTGGTGACGAGGAGGAGGACGACGGAGGAAGGAGGCAACAAGGGTCGGCCTCGCGCAGAGGGGGGGTAATTCGGGGGAGGGGGAAGGCATCTTAGAAGCACCCCTGCTTCTTCGAAGGCGCTGGCCTTCTCTATAGACGTAGGACCCGGGGCCTTCTAAGAAGCAGGGTGCTGCTAAGAAGCCTTCCCCCCTCCCCCTACCCCCTTGTGCGCGCCGCCAAAGCGATAGCCGAAGAGCAAAAAACAATGTCAACACAATTTCTCGGACGTCCGCGCGGAGTCCATGGATCGGCGCTGGGCCCCCCCTGGCATCGCCTCCAGCGCCGCCCCTGGCCCGCCAGGCGCATCCAAGTTGCCCGAATGCGCCCTGGTGAGGGAAACGTATCATCTCTTTGGAAGGCCTTACGACCAGTGCCGCCGACCCTGAAGGGGGACGACGACGACGATGACGACGTTGGCGACGACGGCGCTGACTGTCTGGAACCGAAAGCTTGTCCCAGGAAGGGGTGCTCCCCCCTAAGGGGGGGTTCGGGTCACAAACCCCTGGACCCTCCCGGACCTCCCCCCCCCTCGTGGGAGGAGGGGTCGAAGGGAAGGGGATTCCTTCCAATTTGATCACGACATCGCTCGTGTTCCCTCTGGCTGAATTGAGGGGGAGCGGCGACGACGACGACTCAAAGCGAAAATCCTTTCACACACGCCGACAGGTTGGTTACCCGAACGTGCCCTTCTAAGGGAAACACCTCACCTACTTCTTAGTTGGATGCTGACCGCGCTTCGACGTGACGATTTTCGATCGTTGGTTGGCATGGGTCTTGGTCTCACGCGAGGGCCCTTTACAAAGGAGTCGAGGGTTTCTGACCTGGCCCTCACCGTCCGCAAAGCAGACGCACCGACGACTGAACACGAAGGCTCCGACACAGGAAGTAAGCTAGGAGAAGGCAGAACGCAGGAAAGGAGGGGCAGGGTGGGGAGGGGGAGGGGAAACGGAGGAGGCAGGGAGGGGAAAAGGGAAGAGGAGGAGAAGGGGAGGAGAGGGGGAGGAGGAGGGGGTGGGGGGATGGGAAGGAGGCGGCGGAGGCCGAGGAGGAGTGGGGACGGTGAGGAAGTGTAGGGGTAGAAGAAGTACGTAGCCAGTTGCGGGCGCCAGTGCCAGTCAGTGTAACTACAAGCTTTCGAGCGCCTGGCTTGAACCTCGGCCTGACTGAGGACTTTGGGCTGTAAACCCAAGCCCCGAGCATACCAAGATTTCCTTGCTATTCTTAGTGGTATTGAAATGCGACTGGGCCTTCAATGGATCTCAGCGACATATCGACGACAGCCCCCCCCAATCGCACACACGCACACACACACACACACACACACACGCACGCACGCACGCACGCACGCACACACATACACACACATACACACACACACACACACGCGTGCACGCGCACATACACACAAGCACAAAACCACACACACACACACACACTTGTCTCGCGTTGTTTTCCCTCCGACGTTGCGACGGGTTGCAGTCACCAGCCGTGTATTGCCAAGCAAGGATGTCGCCAAGGCGAAGTACCAAACACTAACACACATTCACACAATGCAGAACCAAGTTTGAAGGGACGAGTGCGCTGTCGGGAGTAGTGTGAGCCCAGTCACCCGCGACATGAATTCGAAAGCCCTCGTCGATGGGCGAGACAATCCCGCAGTCAACAGGATCGAACTCAGGGCGCAGCCGCAGCCTCTCAGCGTCGACAGGCAAGTCCGCAGCGGGCTCTGGCCACGCGGGCGACGACAGCTGCGACTGCAAACGACTTTTGCGGCGACGACCGCAGTGTCGGGACGACGCAGGCGCTGACAACGATATTGACCGCGACGTCGGCGAATCACGCGACGGCCGAAATGGGCGAGCCCGCCTGGAAAAGCCCACTGCGCGGAGGCCCTGGCGGGCGAGAGACACCAAGTTGCCAGCGGTCAGAAGGCCCTAAGGCTCGATCGGGGTTCGAGGTTCCGATGTTGGATCTGAACCTGAATTGCGAACTGTTTCGGGCACCGGGACCGTCAAAAACCAATACGGGATGAACGACTTTCTTTGATTCACCTTAGGTGGGGTCCATGGGCCGATTGTGAGCGGCTGGGAGTCTGGGAGCGGCGTTTTTTCAACGGGAAAAGGGGTCGTTGGAGTTCTGCAGCACGCACTCGCACACCACCACCATGCCTGGTTAGGGCCACCCTGGTCCCTGGGATGGTGCACAGCCAAACAGGATCATATTGACGAGCAGCTTCGCAAGCGCGCCCTTGAATCCTTGCCTCTGGACCCGTAGCAAAAATTGGCCATGGGTAGTTTGGGTGTCCAAGGACCTTGCATCCTCATCGCGCATCCTTATCATCAGGTCGCACTGTATGGATCCTCGTGGCCTCGGCCAGGAGGGCCTGTTCACAGTGCCAGGGCCCATAGTGACATACTGGCCCTGGCCAGGCATGGTGGGGGTTTACGGATGCCTCCAGCTACAGCCTTTGATTTCAGGCTGCGTGTGGGGAGAGTCATGTGTGTATACGCTTTAGTACAAAAACTACAAGTTCCTTGGTCGGTTCAGGTGTAGCCTCTTCCGCACACCTCCTCCCAGGGAGCCTGTGGTCGCTTGTGCCGCCCGTGATCTCTATCGTGTCATGACCGCGTCCCCTCCTGCTGCGATCTGTCTCCTCCTCCTCCTCCTCCTCTTCCTCCTCCTCCTCCTGCTGCTGCTCCTCCTCGTGAAAGAGCGGCCCAGGTGGAACCATATTTAATTCAGGGCAACGCCCTGGCTGATGAGGCGGGAGCGGCGGCGCAGAGGGGCTTGGAGGAGTCTATCCGTCAAGGCGAACCTCGCACGAACCACTGGGATGCGCTGGCCACCCTGGTCCGTGCGAGAGCGCGTCGCGCTCTTCCCTCGCCACTGCCGCCGACCCATGGAGTGGGGCGCGGCATCGGCAGGAGCGACGCCCCGCCCCGTCTGCCCTGAAGCTGGCCCTTGAGAGGTCTGAGCATCGTTTCGTTCGTTATGGGACGAAGTGGAAGTGCAGCAACTGCCCCATGATTATCCCGCAGTCCCGGGCGATCCGCGCGGCCGCCACTGTTTGTAAAGGCGCCCAGCGAGTTTGCGGCGGGAGCGAATGTTGATCTCGTAGGCGGCCGCGCTATTCATCCCTCTCGCACGCCTCAGAGGTGGGAAAAGTATATGCTCACGGTTTGCTCTGTGTGTGGGAAGTCCGGCACAGTGGAAAGCAAGCAGTTTGCTGCCAAGTGTGACCCCTCACGCAAGTGGCGCGAGAATGTGTCGCGTATCCAGACAGGCCTGTTCCCCCGGCTTGAAGGGGTACCAGCGGCCCTGCAACGCGCTCTTGATGAGCGCGATTTTTTGGCGGGGCCTGTTTTGCCCGCCGAGGCGGGTGATGCGGCTGCGTCCTCTGCGGAGTCAGTGCACCTCCCTCCGTCCGGAGGGTCGTAGGCTGGCTTGCGCAGGTCCGGGGTGTTTGCTTGTTGCGCAGGTGGACTCCCTGGCTCGGGCGGTCTTTTCGCTCTTCTCCCCTCCCCTTCCTCCCCTCCCCTCTCTCGCGCACGCCCCCGTGCTTGGTCAAAGGGTTCAAAAGGTCCTCCTTCTCCTCCACTCCTCCTTCACCTCCACCTCCTCCTCTCCTCCTCCTCCTCCGCCTGCTTCTCCTCCTCCTCCTCCTCCTCTTCCTCCTCCGCCTGGGGAAACGGGAAGATACCCATACCGCTACTCTACGCACCTCTCCTGGGGCGCATTCCGACCAAAGATTTCGAGGCGAATCCTGCCGCGACAACGAGGGAAGGGTAGCGGTATCGGTATCGTTTTTGTTTCTTCTCTGACCTCCCGTCCCGTGCTCTTACTCGCCCTTTGCCGGGTGCGGTCCTCCTCTTCCTCTCGCGCCACAGTTGCCCGTGGGCGCTCTTGCGGGCCCTCCGCCCCGCCCCGCGCCCAGCTGGTGCTGGCCTGGCAGCCGCCACGTGGGTGCCGCAGACCCCCTGGGGGAAGGCGCGCCCCACCCCCCGCCTGGCCGCTGGCTGCCCCCGCCCCTTGTAGATTTCATCCCCTGGCGATAGCGGGCGCGCATTCAGCACAGTTTTCTGCACATGTTCTGGCCTTTGTTTTCATGCCAACCTGTGCCGATGCGCCGTCTAGGCGTGGCTTCTCCCTGTCCCGCCCTGATAACAAGCGTGACCGGGGAGGGGGGAGGAGGGAGGAGGGGGCCAGTCACGTCACGTTTCGCCCCGGCGCCGTCTGGGGAAAGCCCAGGAATGGCCAGATTCCCAGGCGGTGCCGGCCCAAAACATGATATGACCCAAGGGGGCAGGGGGGTGCAGGGTCAATGTCAGCCGGGGATGGGCTCGGGGGGGAAGGCATCGACCCCCAACCGCCCACTAATCGCTGATAGGGTCTGATAGCCCCACCCTGCCCTCGAACGTGCGGATCCGCCATCAGGGGCCTATCGCCGATATATCTGCGATGCATCGCCGATTGCATATCGATGTCTCCCCCCTGCGCCAGTCCTCCCCCTAGCGTTGCCCCTTCGGGGGGGGGGGCGGAGTCGGTCACGGGCGTGATCGCAAATATCATACAAACATTGGCTCCGAGCTATTGCCCCCTGGCCGCGAGCGGACGGGAGCCTGGGCACCAGCGGCGCGCAGTTAGGGCGGCGCTCCAGGGCCTCCAGGCATCCCCAGGTGGGACCCGAGCAGCTGGGGTCGGAGGATGTCGCCGCATCGACGACGCATCGGCGATGCATCGGCGACGTCGGCGGTGCATCGGGGCCGGCGTGGCTAAGATCGGGCTCCGCATCGCCAAGGCGTCGGCGATGCGGCCCCGTGTGGAGGCCGATTGTCCCCACGCCGACGAGAACAGTGCATCGGCGATATTCGGCGATGCGCTGGCGGCGGCGGTCCAGAGGCGTGGGCGGGCGGCCGGAGGAGAGCGGGTCGTCACGGAAGGGGTTGGTCAGGCCACGCTCGCAAGGGGGGGCAGCGCGACGGTGCTCCGAGAGGTCGCCCGGGCTGTCGTAGGCCCGCACGCCGTGCCTCTTCAGGAGACTCCTCGGAAGCCTTCTCTGAGGGGCAGGGCCCTTCCTGAGAGCAGGGGCAACGTGAGGGAGAGATGAGTGCAGGAGGGAAGGCATCGACCCCCCATCGCCCATACGGGTCCTGACCGCCCAGGACAGTGGGGAGTCGCCATCGGGGGCTTATCGCCGATCTATCGGCGGTGTGTCCCCGATTCCAGGTCGATGCTTCCCTCCCTGCGCACCCCCCCCCTCCTGCCACTCTCCTTTGCAGAGACCCAACGCGTCTTGGGGCGATCTCTGGGGCCTCTTGGGCCGTCTGGGGCCCTTCTGGAACTGAGAAGGGGAGAACCCGAAAAACCTACAAAAACCCAAGGGGAAAACCCGCAAACAACGGCCATTAGACATATGTTCTCGGGCCTCGCCCTTCCCCTGGACCTTTCCGAGGGCTTCCCCCGAGCTCAACGTACATCACTCGTACCTCGCTCTTTCCGTCACCTGGACCGGCACGGGAACGGAAAGAGCGTTTCAGCAATTTGTCCGGGATGGTTCATGGTACCCTTCGCTCTTGGGAGCTTCGGTGGTAAGAGCTTGTTGCGTCACCGCTCTTTATTGGGAGCCTTGCTGGCAAGCGCGTGTTACGTCACCGCTCTCTATTGGGAGCTTTGCTGGGAAGAGCCTGTTGCGTCGCCGCTTTCTGTTGAGAGTCCTCATGCCCAGAGATGCTTACGTTGCCGCTCGCTCTAGGGAGCGTTGGTGGTAAGAGCTTGTTGCGTCCCCGCTCGCTCTTGGGAGCCTTGCTGGGCAGCGCGTGCGACGTCACCGCTCTCAGTTGGGAGCCTTGCTCCTCCTCCTCCTGATCCTCCCCCCCATCCTCCTCTTAGTATTATTAGCATTACTATTACCCTCCTCCTCCTCCTCCTCCTCCTCCTCCTCCTCCTCCTCCTCCTCCTCCTCCTCCTCCTCCTCACACTCCTCCTCCCTCCTCCTTCTTTTCCTCCTCCTCATCCTCCTCCTCCTCTTCCTCCCTCGTCCTCGTCCTTTTTCTCCACCCCCTTTTTTCTCCTCCTTTTTCTCCTCCTCCCTCCTCCTCCCTCCTCCTTCTCCTCCTCCTCCTCCTTTTCCTCTTCCTCCCCCTCCTCCTTTCCCTCCTCATCCTCCTCCACCTCCTCTCCCTCCTCGTTTTCCTCCTCTTACACATCATCATCCTCCTCCGTTCCTTTATCCTCCTCTTTCTACCTCCCTTCCTCCGCCTCCTCCTCCTTCTCCTCCTCGTCCTTTTCCTCCTCGTCCTCCTCCTCCTCGTCCTCCTCCTCTTCCTCTCCTCCCTCTCCTCCTCTTTCTCAGCCTCCTCCTCCTCCTCCTCCTCCTCCTTTCCCTCCTCCTCCTCCTCCTCGCCTTTTTGCGATCGAGCAGCTACGCAGCCCCTTCTTCGAAACGGCACATAATGCCTGCGAGTCGTTTTTTTTAACGATTGAGGGCCTTCTCCCTCCATTCACTGCGAGCAAGTCATGACGCCCCCCCGCGGGGAAGGGTTCTGGCAAGGACAAAGGAACCAAGGGCGGTATGGGTCCTCTTGCTGCGCCGATTGGTCCTGGCGGAAATGGCGGGCAGTCGCACTACCCATGGCGTCCACTCCTTCCTGGCCCACAGTACTCTCCTCCAGGAAGCCAAGGTGGGCATCAGTTTGGCGCACAGTGGGATTCCTGGACCTGTTCGGCTTGTGGCTGCAAAAAGAAAGATGTGCGCTGGAATCAGTGCGAACACTGCGGCGCCAGTTGGACATCATTTCAGACTGGCGGCGGTGGCATGCCCCCCAGCGGCGTATGGGGAACGCCTGGCGGAGGCGGGGCCTTCTCCCCCCTCGCCGCGGCGAACCTGCAGCCTCCGCCTGGGCAGTTCGGCGTTTCAGGAGGCTTGCAGACTGGTGCTCCCCCTCCCTCGGGCACCACCAGTGGGCTGTTTCGGAAGGAGTTCGGGAAGCTGGCCGACCTGCTGGGCAAAGCTGGAGACGTTCAGGGAACGGCCAGGCACCGTGCCCTGACTGCTCCGCCGCCTGCCGCCAAGGAGCCGACTCTGCAGCACCAGGTCTCCATTGCTCGTTCCAAGATGTGTGCAGTTGAGAGGAAGCTCAACGGTGCCGTCCAGAGGTGCGAGGAGTGGAACCTTCAGATGGTGCGGCAGCGGGCTCTGGTCACGCAGCTCGCAGAGGAGTTGGACCAGTGCACGAAGTCGCACAGCAAGCTGGTGGCCCAGCTCCACCAGTCCACCAACAAGGAGTCCGAGGAGCAGCTCACTCGGTGTACTCTCTCTCTTCGATGTTGGACGGCTCCTTCACCAAGCAGTGGGTTATTGATCTTGCTGAGATCACTGGTGCGTCTGATGCGTATGAACTTTCGACGGGGGGCCGAGAGTGGCTGGACAAGAGGGTTGGTTCAGCGGGATCAGCAGCCTCGCGCTGGGATCCAGGAGGTGGCACATTTTTTGTTTGTTTTGTCGAAGGCCGTTGAGGAAGCCAACGAGATCAAGGAGGCGCACGCGGCTCACCTGCAGCGCCTTGGCAAGAAGCGGAAGGTCGCCGACCCTCAGATTCAGCAGCCTCCGCAGGCCGGCGGGGGGAACGGCGCCGCTCCTGCCGCCGAGGGCGGTGCAGCCCCCACGGTCGGCGCGGCCGGCGGTTCCTCAGGAGGCGGAGCAGCAGCGTCCCAGCCTCCCTCTCCTGCTGGCGCTGGCAACGGCGATCCTGCTGACCCTGCAATTTCAGCTGATCTGCTTGCACGAGCGGCCAAGATCATCTCTGAACAAGCGCCTCCCCCTGCTTCAGCCGCCAGAACTGTCGCAGGGGGGGCGCAAGAAAACTACATCTTCAAGGGGTACGTCGAGGAGGAGTTCGGCCAGACCTTATTCTACGGCGACAGGGCGACTGCCAGTGAGGGCTGCTGCGTAGACTGGCCCAGCTCGTTTGCGCGGCACACTTCTATCGGCAGTCTAGATATCATTTTTACGGCTGCGAAGGTAGCGCCGAGCAGCCGTGGGCCATTTCATCATGTCAGCGTGTTTGAGATTCGCGTTTCTGTCTTGATGTCGCACAGGAGTGGTCTCACCCGGGGTTCTGCTACACCTCGCCGAATAGTGACTGCGATCAATCCGGCAGTGGTTTCAATGTCAAGGGAGACGTTTTAATCCGACAGCCTGTCGTCTTCCCCGCTGCCCCCCCCCCCCCGGCGTAGTCATCGCCCGTCCTTCTTCATGCGCGGCAGCGCCTCGCTTCGAGGAGCTGCCAAACACGCCCCGTGGAGAGCCAGTCGCATCATTGCGTCGGGGGCTGCTGGCATTGCGTCCTTTGCTCGCAGTTTGCCCATGGCTCCGCTATGTTTTCCGTTTTGCTCAGCCTTGCAGCTGCTGCCCTGCAGCTACCAGTCTTGATCCGCGCAGCCCCGTCGAGTGCATCAGCGGCCCCGGGGGTCCCTTGGTTTGCGGAGTCTCCTATGGCACCCCTCAGGGCCCCGATAGTCCTGGCCAGGTTCACTTGGACTCGTTGGAGCTCTGTATCCATTCGGTCAATTGCAACACGCGGACCACCATGACACAGTTGTTGGCCAAGACGCTAGCTCATGTGATATTGCGCCAGGAACATCGCCTGCGTGAGCGCGAGCTTCGGCGCGGCGTGCTCGGCATGGCTGGAAGAGCTTCTTTTCTTTCGCGGCGAACGCCGAAGCTGGGCCCACCTCTGCCGGCGCGCGCGCCCTCGCCAGGGAATCCCCAGGCCGTTGCGAGCCCCGCGGGGGGGGGGGGGGGGGGGGGGGGGGCGGAGGCTGTTCGCAGCAGAGCCGCGGCAGGCGTCGTCCATCGGCTTAGAGGTCTTCAGTTTGTCGCTTGCTCCTCCTGCCTCCACCATTCCGAACAGTTGAGCGAGGGAAACATCGACATCCTCGCTACCATAGGTGAGCGCATGTCTTCCTGTTCTCTTCCCTTGTGTGCT